AGGAAAGTAGAGGAATTAGATTTGGCTTATGTTCAGAAAGGTAGAGGTAGATCAAAAAAGACTTGGTTAGAAAATATTAGAAATGGTCTTTCTTTATTAGATTTAAATGAGAATTTGACTCTTAATAGGGCACAATGGAGAAAAAAATCCATGTAGCCGATCCCAAGTAGTGGGATAAAGGCTTGATATTGTTCGGATAAAAGCATGATGTCGTTGTTGTTATTATTTTTATTAATCGTACTGTACTATCTATTAGAACAGAAATTAATTAAAAAAATTTTATTTTAAATAAAAAAATTAATTTGTAATAAAATTAATAGTACAGTACGAACACGCATCATACTGGACGATCAGCTATAATCAGAAACCTTGTCGTCGAATCTAACTTATCTACAATAAGCAAATTTGAATTTTGAAATTTGAATATTCATATTGTATGAATCATTTCTATTGTACAAATTTTTCAATAATTGCCTAATTAGATCACTTAATTAAGCAATCAAATTGAATATGATTGATTACAGATCATATTGTATGATACATTTTCGTATTGTACGAGTCACCCGAGGAGTCTTTGGACATTGGTTCGTCCGGTATGATCCCAAAATCATACTGTCTGAATCACCCGATGACTCTTTAGACCATATTTGTTCATCTTATATGATCCGATTTTGAATTGAACTAATCGTATTATACCACTATTCATTCTTATGATCATCCTATAGATTATTCATCATACAGTACTACAAAAGAAGAATTGAACTAATCGTATTGTGCAAACAGTGACAGCTAAACTGAAACTTAGGGTTTTCTTGCAGCCTACTATTTAAACATCTCTTATTTCGTTTAGAGAAGTTTATTGTAGTCAAGGGGCTTGAATCTTCTATGAGAGAGAATTTGAAAAGTGAGCGTTGGAGAAGAGGGAGAAAGTTATTATTGAGAGAGAAAGAATAGGCTTGTGGGATCAAGGGAATGTGTGAGAGAGAGTCTACACAAGGTTGCTTCGGCTAACATTCATCTTCTATCTCCATGGGTCAATGTTTACTTGAGGGAAACTCCAAGAAAAACCTCTTGGAGTGAAAGAGCTACCGGTAACTCCGCCGCACCATTGGGGAAATGGATTCAACTACTCCACCACACCATTGGTGAAAGGGATTCGACTACTCTATCGCACCGTTGGTGAAAGAGATTCGACTACTCTGTTGCACCGAATTGATGGAAGAGATTCTTATAAAGTCTTCTCCCCGTTACTGTGAAAGCAAAAGCAAAGATACTCAAGAGTTTAGTGCAATACCCAGAGAAGAAGACTCCGCAGAGTGGACATAAATTAAGTTTGATCGAACTATTATAAATCTGATATGTTTTTTCTTATTTTTATGTATTTTACTTTCCTGCAAATCTGAGTTGGGCCTTGATATTCTTGTAACACCAAAACTCTGAGATTGCCTTGGATTTAACCTTTGTTATAAAAGAAAATTAATAAAAATCTAAAACAAAAAATATATGTTTTTCTTGTATAACATCAACAACAAAAATTTGTATTTACTTTCTTATTATTCGTCTCGCTTGAGAAAATTTATTTTTAAAGTTGTAGTTGTGAATTTGGTCTTAAGTTTTTCAAAAAGAAATTTTTGAAAGAAAATTTTTGAATCATCAATTCACTCTCCTCTTGGTGTGCCAATGTAGTTCAAGCAGTTTAACAACCATAAATTGAACTTTCAAAGTGTTGGGAAGACTTATGTTCTACAAGACCCATTTTATCGATTAATTAAGAAAAGAGTGGTGTTGCTACTCTCTAACCTCCTCTTTGCAAGTGTTATTATGTCGGCCATCTAGCAAAGGAGGCCATTCCATTCATCAAATTGATAAAGATCAAGCTTACACGATTCAACCGTATCGATGTGAAAACCTGGGTGTTCAAGGCTACTAAATATTTTGATTGCATAACAAATCGGACAGGCATTGCATTTGCATAGCTTTCTTTCATCTTGGGGACACAATCACAACCTGGAATAATGATTATGCAACCAAGACGAATCACTCACTTGGGCAGGCTTCTTGACGGCTATCCAAACTAGTTTAGAAATTTAGGAACACAAGGATCATCATGGAAATCTATCAAAAATTAGTTCAAAATGGATCTGTGTTGGAGAATCAAAATGCTTCTGCAAAACTCGCCTTCAAGTACCAGGTATATCACAATATCTTTGGTTCGTTTCTTTTACATTAGAAAGAGAGTTATTGTTAGCCAAACCACCTCATTAATAGATACAACGAAATTGGCAAGGATACATGAATCTCATTTTGAAGATTACATTTACTCAATAACTTGGCATAAAAATCATTAATCAAGTAGATCACCACAAGACCATGATTGTATATAAATGGTAAGTAAATGTGTCAGAATGTAAATAAATTTATATTGCTACATAAATATGTAAGAAAGTAAACTAAAGTATAGAGCAATTGGAAACTGTGAAAATTTACATGTTTCGGCCACTCTACAAGAACATCTACACAAGCCCAACTCAATACTAGGCTTGCTACAACAAACTACTCTCCTTCACCCTATGAGTAGGCGAAGAAATCTTTTTAAGCCATGCTAAGCTTCTTGATCTACATCAAGAAGGGGATGGCACCTATTAAGTAGGTGTGGACTCCTTAAGAAGGAGAAGAAGAGATATTAGAAAAGAAAGAAAACAGAAATCTTATTTCCTTAAAATGAAATTACAACCTTAGGGTCTATTATAGTGTTTACATAAATCAGTTTTGGGTCTAATAATGATTTAGACCAACTAGTTCAATACAATTAATAATAAATAACTTAAAATGGGTTTGGGGGTTAGTTTAATGCTGAAATAACATGAACCATGGCAATTGCAATTGGCTTGTTGCTTGCATTGTTCCTTTACTTGGAGGGCCTTATGTCCTTCTTCTTCTATGATAAACTTGAAGTATTTTATAATCTTACTGCTGAGTTTCTGAATTATTTATCCATTCTTGGCAATTTTGTTGCATTATGTTTGAGTCCAAGATAATGTGATGTTGCTTAACACACCACCTTCCTCCTTGACAGGTAATAAAGACACTCTAGTCTTCTACTTCAATGTGAGAAGCAAGCTACTCCTATTCATATCCACTAGGTAAAAATATTCCTTATTCAAAGTGAGGAACCACTAGTACAACCGATTAAGTAATGAAAACCATCATTGAAACCAAACCAAATCTCACTTGAACCTTGGTGGTGACTCAATGGCTATTAACTACAACTATAGTTTATGCAATCCCTAGCAAAACTTGATTGTAAAATCAACATAATAAGAGAGAAATCAAAATAATATAGAAACCAAGAACGAGAAAAAAAAATTATGAAAAGTTAAAATGAGCTTTAAGATGATGATAAGCACTATAAATCTTTCTCCAAATTCTCTTCAAAAGATCTTGCAATATAAACTCAGATTGTCTTATTTTTGTATCATTAATTTTTCTTATGAAGCTTTTGGGTACATGCAGCAATTAGCACTTAAAATGTGCCCAACACGCATATAGATGTTATAATTACCTTAATTATCCACTAGAGTTGTTATACTTGAGAAATTATTTCAAAATAGCAATTTTTTGGGCAAATCATATAGTTTGTTACACATAGTATTGCCTGATCATCGTAATTTACAATTCACATCACATGGTAAGATCTATATGCCAATATATTAATTTAATGTATTATAATTACTATTTAAAAACATATTGTGCTATACAATAGTACCTTACAATCCTAATTATGATGTATGATTTATATAATACTATGTGATCTGGATAATATCGTATGGTTCACCAGTATTCATAATCCATGGAAACATGTTCTATTGCTCTCAATGAATTTTAATATCTTAACTATCATATCTATGATATTATAAAATAAATTTATTAAATTATATCAATGTTTAAAATTGCGTATTCGGTTATTGAGGCGTTTTTCATTCGTGAGGCGAGGCGTAAGCCTCAAGGCTTTTTGAGGCGTAAGCCTCAAAATCAAAAGATTGCGTAAACATAAAATGATAAATTTTTTATATACTAATAAGTGAATAATGTAAAACATAAGAAAAAAACATAAGATATGAAGTGAAATCAAAATATCCCAATAATAAGACAACATGAAATATAGTTCAACTCAAAATTCTAGCTTTTTCAAATGCCAGTATTCCTTTCATTAACATATAATTCCAATTTCAAAAAATAAAT